AAGAGGAGGGGGAGGAGGGGGAGAGGAGGGGGGAGGGGAGGAGGAAAATGATGGTGATGGAGTAGGATGCAGCCTTCAAATGTAAGAGTTAGAACCATGATGAAGGGTTATAGAACAACCAGGATGAGTTAAAGGGACCCCAGGTCTGTCCTGCCCCTGCCTCCGGGGAGGTCCCGATTGAGGGTACCAGCAGTGAACGGCAGGGAAGCCCAGTTTTCTCTCCTGCTCAAGTCTTGCTTGGACTATCACAACAGCCTCCTGCTCTGATTTTCCCCTTGCTCCTGTCTCTCCCTCCGGTACATCCACCCCGTCACCACCGGAGTCACCCTGAGGAAGACAAATCAAAATCTGCCAGTCTCCACGCTCCCCCCACCACTGCATCATGCCCTTCAGTGGCTCCCCCGTCTGTAGGATAAAGTCCATACTCTTTTGCAGGAACCATATCGGTCTCCTGCCACTTCCCTGTCCCACTTATGTTTTTCACTCTAGTTCCTTCAGACAACTTGCAGATCCTTGTATGTGTCTGGTCCCTGTTGGGAAGGCTGGGCTGGGCTGGCCTTTAGGGCACCACAGAGCATGGTGGGAGGAGGGGGAGTGTTTCTCATAGTGGCAGATCACAGAGTAGATCACGCCCAGAAGAAAATCAAGGTCAGGAAAATATATCCATCCTATGTCATTGGGGCCAGGAGCCTGGAGGCCAGAATTAGGAGCAAAAGATCTGAGCCAAGTGGGTCAGAGACCCTTGGAGGTACAAGCAAGGAGTTGGAGAGAGCAGCTGTTTGTACAGCTATCAGAACTGGTGACTGTTCTTGCACTTCTGAGCCGTGCTGGGGACATACGAGCAAGTAGCCAAATTCCTGAAAGGCCTGAGGTCCCTCTGTTTGCGTTTCTGGGCCTCTGTATGTTCTCTTCCCTTTTCTGTCCTTTCCATTTTTACTTCTGAACTGCTATTCATCCTTCAAAACGTTGTTTGTATATCAGCATCTCTGAAAGTCTTCCTCGACCCTCTCAGTACTCAGTACTCCTCTGTACTATTTCCACACCCTCTGCACACTTCCAATAGTACATGCCTCATACCCTCATTGCAATTATGTTTGCCTGTTTGTGTCCCTCCTGTTAGAATGGAAGTGTCTGGACAGCAAAACCTTTGTATTAATTGTCTCTCTATCCCCAGCACCTAGCACAGTGCCTGACACATAGTTGATGAATTATATATAGTTCCTGAATAGAGCATAACAGAATGGAGACTAGGGAAAGGGAGGGAGCTCTGCTGGGTGGCCTTCATGCCCCACCTGCTGTATAAGTTTAGCAGGGCTGCCATGTACAGGTTGGTGCATGTCCATTAGACTGCAATGCAAACTGTGCTCTGGAGCAGCCCTGGGTGTCCCTCATTTTGATCAAATCCAATAACGTGATGAAGTGAAAAGTAAAATAATTGCTTTATACCACAGAGCAAGAGTTGAGTTCAAGGTTGGGAACTGAGCTGAGGTCTTCTCAACTCCAAAGCTAGTGCTTTAGCCCTTGGCCTCAGAGTCAGCACAAGGAAAAAATAACTTCCTTATTGTTCTGAAATGACTATATTATTGCTCTTCCAGCCAGTGGGCAAGCCAAGAGTTTGTTGTGAGGGCAACTAACATGGCTCCACCCATTGGCAGGAATCTTGAAGTTTCCCCTACGTTTTCTAACTAATTAGACCTTCTGGAATCCAGCCCTGTCAAGTCTTCAGAGGAGCCCTGGTGTGCAGCCTCAATGTCTGACCAACTTTAATAAATCCTTTGGATTCTAAAGTTTAAAAAAAACAGGCCCCATTCCACTGGCCTGGCCTACTAGGAGAATTCTGGCTCTACATTAAACGTAAGGAAAAGACACAAATAATCTTGGTGTTTACCTCCTAGCAAACACACACATATAACGCTAGGCCCAATCCAAAAAACGTATCTATCACCCACCACATGTAACCCCAGCTGGCTACTTTCAATTCATGAATCTGTTTGTCTCCCAAAGTTTTATGTTCTTTGTCTTAACTTTATGTCCTGACCTTCTCTGGGAGATGTCTTAGTTTAGGGTCTGAACATATGGGAACTTAAGATAAATGAGGACATTCAGCGCCTTACCTCTCCTTGTGATGAAAGTTGGTGTCATAAGGAGTCGAGTCAGGCTTTGAGGGCATGAAGACTCGGGAGAATCTTGACACTTCCCCTCAGCATCTATGTGGTCTTGGGCAGGTAGCTTATTTTTTTTATTGAAGTATAATTGGTTTACAATGTCATATTAGTTTACCGCATGGTGATTCAGTATTTTTACAGATTATACTCCGTTTAAAGTTATTACAAGATAATGGCTATAATTCCTTGTTCCATACAATATATCCTTGTTGCTTATCTATTTTATAATAGCAGTTTGTATCTCTTAATCCCATACCCCAAATCTGTCCCTCTCCCCTTCCCCTTTGGTAACCACTTTTGCAGCCTCAGTTTCTCCATCTATTAAATGGGGATAACCTTGTCACAGAGAAATAATGTATGAGAAACATCTAGTAAAGTGCTGGCACAATGTAGGTTCACAGTAAATTGTGGTTAGTATTATACCATTACTCTGAAAATAATCTCATGAGATTCCAGTAGGTCCTGGTGCCCAGTTTTCAGCATCTAATTTAGTCTCCCACTCACTCTGCCTGTTTCCTTTGCCCTGAGCAATTGCTATGTTCCTTGTTACCTATTCAGCTTTTGGGAGTCCTGGATTCCAGTCCAGGCTCTGTCATGGACAGGCTGTGTGTCTTTAGACCAGTCACCTAACCTTTCTGTACTTTCTCACCTGACCACACAGATATGGGCAGGTGACTTCTGAGCCGTGCCTCTCTCAGCTCACCCTGTGGTTTGTGTCCTGAAAAGGCCAGAGAAGGGAATGCTAGGGGCTGAGCCTCAGCAAAGGGGCCTCCTCAGAGATTCTGCACATCTCTGGCCTGAAGCCAGAGGCTCTGGTCTGAACACCAGTCAAGCTGCCAGCTGGTACTCTTTATTATTTTGCCCTTTTAAGTAAATTCAGAAAGCCTTCAGTTTCCCCATAGAGTTTTGCATTGATATTACAGGCTGCTTGGACTCTGGAGGCCTCGGTTTCTTTCCTGTTTGGGTG